TTGTACCTGTGAAAGATACCGTTATATGTTCGTCCCCAAACTCAAGAATCGATTTCTTGGAGGGCTTTGTAGTAGCATGATTTTTATGAATAAGGCCGCCCTGTTAGAAGATATCTTAAACGAAATTCGCAAAGAATTGCTCACTGCCGAGGATCTGCTCACTGAGCCCGGTGCCTTTGGAGAAAACGGGGGTTCCATGACTTAAAAACCAAATCGCCTGACATACATGAGGGTTGAAACCGGCGACCCAAAGGTAAGGATTGATCAGTTAAATCAGTTTAAAAAAATTGCATGTAGCTTTTTTTATATAAAAGCAACATTTGTGATATTCGATCACATTTCCATAATAAATGAAACTACAGGCAAAAATAGGTCCAGCAAGCTATCATCGAAATGAAACTTTTTCTCTCAAACTCATTCGATTTTAATGCTTGTTTTTCACTAGGCCTCGTTAAAAATTATTTCGTTTAAAAAATGTAAATATCAATTCGATTAAACTTGATCCGCCTATTCTCGTTTGTTTTATCTTTTTCGTCGCTCATTTCATGATTGGGTCAATGACAAAAGTGTTGAGTAGATTTTATATAAAACAACAGAATTTTGTCGAAATAATTTTCATTTTTGAGCATCTCTCTGTGCTAAATTGAAGAAAATTAAATCAGTAAACTTGTTTATTGCTTTTGCAATGTCATGGTTACGAATAAGGCGTATCAAACTGTATTAAATATAATTGCCACTTAATGTCATTTTAAATATATTGGGGAAATCTTGTTAAAATATTCCCAATTTTCAAATAAAATGGAAATGATGCAAGCAAATTTTTGCTCTGTTAAACGGACATAACTACTTGAGATTTTTCCGGTTTCCTGGTTGCGATTAGGTATCAGACCAACCAACAACCAAAATATAATTTTGTCGGGGGAATATTGTTGAAATTTTCCCACCATGCATATAAAATCAAAACGCTAACAGAATTTTTTTTCTCTACTAAACAGACGAAACTATTTTAATAAAATTAACTTTTATTAGTGATTAAAGTTTTTGCAATGTCCTATTGGCGAATAGGGCATATCAGACTGACACTTTTGCCACTTAATATAAACAAAAATATTAATATATTGGGATAATTTTATGGATTTTACCAACTTGTAATACTTTTTGGCTGTTCGAAAGAGTATGCATAAAAAAACTTATATTAGAGGATTTTTAACATCCTGCTAGTGTATAGGGCATTTCAGACTAATCCAATACATTTACCTATGTTGGTATAATTTTTTTAAAAGTATTGTTCAAATTTCCCCAGCATGGGAATAAAATCAATCAATATTAATATATTGGGAGAATTTTGTTGATTTTTTTTCTCAACTTACAAATGATAGTTTGCTAGTCGAAAGTACATGTATTAGAGGTTTCTGTTCTGGTTTTGAATAGAGCATATCACATTTGCCATATATTTTAACTATATTGGTAGAATTTTTATGAAAGTTCCCAGCCCACGAATAAAATCTAAATGCTGTCAGCAATTTTTCTCTGCTAAACGGACAAAACAAATTAAAAAAGTAGAAAATTTTGTAATGTCCTGGTTGTTAACAAGGCATATCAGTCCAACACGTGTTATTAAGGAGTAAAACTCCATGTTTTTTCTACGTAGACTAGTTCTGTTGAAATATATAGGTCGAATCAGTTAAAATGAGCATGATTATATGCCGTTTCAACCGGATGGCTGTGATAGTTCTTTTTGCTCAAGGTTCGGGGGTTTCAATTATTACGTCCGCTTAAATTTATTTTTTTCTGTTTACATTTTTTATTTGTTCTTAATAAATTTACATTTGTATGATTAAAATTTTGTCAGTTTTACTGTAGATTTACGGTTAGTTTTGGGACTAATTTTTCGGAAGCGTTTATACGAATATCATCATTTTCGAGAAAACCTTTGGCCCAATTATTGTACTATAATCTCTGATGACACTCACGAAATTATAAAATTCTTTTAGAGAGAGCTAATAGTATTTCATGGTCGTCATGCTTATAAAAGGTCGTCGTGGGAGTTGGCTAAAACTTTTAAAGCCGATTATTTTTATATTTATGTACGTTTTATAAAGTTTAGAGTACAACTTTTTGGCAAATGATACTTGCGCTCAGCACTTAAACCTTGATTTTTTTTGTACCTAAAGTACTTAAATATAAAGTAGTTCAATACTTTGTGACAGTACTTATATTAGATTGTGTTTACTTAGGTAATCTCATTTAGAATAGTATATACTTGTTGCAAAATATTGAATATTTCACAATGTAAGTACGGCGTATTGAGCAAACTGCGTCTCTGAGCCGACGAGAGGTTATGCATTCCATTTAGGAATTATGCAGCAATTTCTTATTGTAGCATAACTCACTGGTTATCTTTGGAATATGTGGTTTTAATTTTAATATAATTAAATTTGGTTTAAAATTGAAGTTTCTTGGACGCACCTGTGTCATATTGTCGTTGGATGTTTCGAATATAAAAGTTCATTTCACACACTTGATTCAATATTAAACTGTATTTCTTGGAAAAATTTTCTTTGCAGTAAGCTAGGAAATTTATTTTCGGTTTTCGACCCGACTTTTAACTGTCAGCATTTTTTGCAGTTGATGTTTTATGCTTTGACTTGATTTTTAAGGTTGCAAACCTTTTGAAAGACCTAACATTTGGACACATCGTAAACGAAATTTTATACGTTTAATTAAAACGCTCTTTTGAAAACTTATAATTCTCAATAATTAAACCGGAATTTAATCAATATTTTTGGGATAGATATTAGGATGATCCAATTTAAAAAAAATGTATTATGCAGATTTATAAGTCACAAAGTTTATTCTTTGCATTTTGTTTAAAGTCTGAAACACTTTTTGAGAACTGTAATTAAGCTTTAATTGAATTAATTGTTGAGGTTTAGTTGCTGACAGGGAAATTTCAAATATCCCAGGTTTCACTATTCTATGTAGTTTTAAGACACCCTGGGATAATTCAAATTGAATTAAAAATTTTGTACAGCTGTAAAACAACAATAATTTTCATTGTATCGTTTTAATATACACGTTTACAGCACTTCCAAATATCCAATAATAAAGTTGTTTTTTGGACGTATTATTTAGAATTCTAGATTTTAATACATTTTGAATTGTATTTTAAAATGTTTTTTTTTTTAGGACATATTACGTAGATGTAATTCATTTTAAATATTTTAAACTTTAAAAAATTTTGTTGGATGTAATTCTTGGAGACAGTATAATTAATATTTTTGTACTTTAGAGCATTAAAACTATAATAATTTTGACTACTGTATAGGGTTTTTTCTGTATATGTTTACACCATAATAACCATTTTAAATGTCCACTAAGTTATTATTTGGACAAGTACTCTACATTTTAAATTGTATTTTAAACATTTACAAGTTTTTTGGCAACTAAACTTCTTTTAGATAATTTCACTTATGGACAAAATTGACTCACCGCCCGTACATTTTCATCTATTTAGGTTTATTAGATTTGTGCGAAAATCATGAGGAATTCTTTCCCATTCATCAAGAGCAGCCGTTTCCAACGCTTCTAGGGTGTCTTGTGTTTGTTCTTGTGCTTCGTGTTCTGAGAATGACACATACACGTAAAACAACACTTTGAGCCCTGAAGATGATCTCAATAAAGATCGAAACGTTGGCATGATAAAGAAAACGTTTTTCTAAAACTACGTCACACCAGACCGCACCTCACGATCTTCAAATAATTATAATTAATATTTTTGTAATTTATGCGTTGAAAATTATTGTTCTATGTTTACAACTTTACGCCATCGTAAATGTGTTCAATAATAAATCTTCTCATCTCATAATCTGCAAGAATGTACATTACGTATAAATTTATAACAAAAAATAATATTTTGATAGCTTGTACTAGACAACAGGAGTTTTTGGAGATCATTAGAGAAATAAACAAAATATATCTTTACAAAAGCAAAATTTAAAAAAAAAAAAAAATAATAATAATACAGAATAAACGTGTAGCATGAAAATATCTTCACAGAAGTATCTAGGTGGAATATGGAAAAGTTTTGTGGTATTCGATTAGTTTAAAAGTTTAAAAATAAATTAATTGGACGGAAAACTATAGAGAAACCTGATGGTGGCTTATAATTTTTAATAATTTTATGGGCGAACCGAGTCATAGATTTGTTTTTTAAGTTGTCTCGTTTGAAGTTTGTTTGAAACAGAACCATGAAAACTAAAATTGGGACATCATGTTTTGTTTGACTTTAAACCCGTTCTGGAGGGACAACATGGTCGGGGCGATCCATTGCCAGTCGGCGCGTTCTCTTTGATTCCGACCACCGATTTTGGTTTAATCCGTACTAGTTCGACGGTCCCTTTTGAAGGTTGACATCCAATTTTCAGATTCCTTTTGATATCAAGTGGTTGCAGTAGAATCGGATAACTGACCTTGGTCGGGGGGTGGAATCGGAGTTGATATTCGTATGGTAGGGGGGATCGATGGGGGTTGAGACCCGGGCCTGAGCATCGATCTGACTGCGTGCGGCTGCCCCGGCCTGGCCCCGACCAACAGCAGTCAATCCAATCGCGAGGAGCAGTCTCTCTTCTGCTGCACACTCCGTCCTGCGAACTTCGGGATCGACTTTTTCTCATCCACCGGATTCGGATACTCGGCTAAACTGAAACGCAGCGTAGAGCGGGACCATCGTCCCGTCAAAACCATTATCCAACTCAAACATATGGTGCTTTCCAGCACAGGTACAAGAACAACATTAGACGTGTTTAATCGATACAACTATGTGTGGCCGATGCGTTTCACCGATTTTTTAACACTTTTTTTCCCACCTCCATTCATATTAAGACTTGACACAAGGCTTCTTTTATTCTACCATCTCCTACCGACCACGTTGCTCTTTCTTCGCCATTTTAGAAAATCCCCCAATAAAAAAAATAAAAAAACTTTCACATGTTTTCTCTTTAGCCAAACATATGCTAGATTTTCACGAGAAAAATCATTTGGATTGATTTTAAATACAGCCTGTTTTATTTTTATTTTTATTTTTAAAAAGAAATCAATTTAGTTTAGTTTTAATTCAGTAACAAGTCACTTCTCCCCAAACTTTACCAAATCAAATGTCATATTACACCCTTTATTTCGGTAATGTTTGTTCGGAACTGTTTGAAGAGTTCTTCGCTAAATTTTTGGGGAGGAAAGGAAGAAGAATTAAGTGGGTTGTAATATAATTATGGACATTATCATGCGACAACCTGGCAGGACCTTCTAAGTGTTCAAGACAAGGGAAGAGAAGGACCACCAGTTTAAATTAAATAAAAAGTGTCTTTAAAAAAAATATGCCCCTCCAGTTTTCATAACTAATGCTTGCTTGACTTTTAAGCCTTAATGCTTTTGTTCTCAAAAATCGTGGGTAGATTGGATTGACGTTCCAAATTTCGAACTTATCTTGTTAAAACATTTTTTTAAAGTATTTTTTTGTATGTTACAGAAACATCATCATTATCGAGAAGAAGGCCAGGGAGTTTACACAGAGCAGTAGAGCCAATAGCTGGCCTTACCTCTAGGTGTATGATTTCATCGAAGCTGCAGTGGCCTGTCAGTTATAGGTACTATTTTATTATCTAACCAAACAAGTAACTTTTATATAGTTATTTTAAAATAAAAATAGTGGGATAAAGGCATATTATGAAATTATTTTATTTTGAGTGTAATTAAATTAATTTTTACAACCAGTAAATTATATCTTGAATATAGGTACAATTTTTTATATGGTGACCCCTCAAGATACTTCTATATTCAATAGTTATTTTGAAATAAAAATTTACGATGGCTTTTTAAAAGGTGAATCATGAAATTACTTTTCCATTTTGAGGGTTATTAAATTGGATATTTACAACCAGAAAATTATATCTCGGATAATAGGTACTATTTTTTATATAGCGATACCCTAAGTAACTTTTATTCTACAGTTGTTTTGAAATATATTTTTAACTAAAAATATGGGGCATCGGTGTCCACAATGGTTTAGGCATTGACATGGTGCTCAGCCCGGGTTCAAAACCAAACGGCCTTGCATTCGAACTTGACATATTTCCAAATGGGGTTTTTCTAACCCCCCCCCCAGGGTATTTCAACTCATAGTAGTGCAAAAATGTACAATGGCTTTATTAGATTAGGTTTTTAAACCAGTAAATTATATCTCGGATAATAGGTCCGTAAGTGGTGTACCAATTGTAACTTTTACATTCGATAGATATTTTTAAATAAAATGTACTATGGCTTCTAAGTTTGATAGTAATTTTGAAATATATTTTTTAAAAAGTAGGGGGGATATAAGATCCCGGGTTCAAAACCCAGTGGCCTTGCATTCGAAACAACATACTTCTATTTTTTCCCCCCAAAATACCAGCACCATGAGGGTTCATGTAACCTCATAGTTGAAATACCCCCTAAAAAATTAGTAATAGTTTTTAGTACTAAAAAGTACTATGTGAAATTCAAGATTAATTTTTATAATAAATATGTTTTTAAAGGTGTATCATGAAATTAATTTTAATGGTTATTAAATTGGATTTTCATAACCAGTCATTTTTATTTTGGCTAATATGCATTTGTAAATTCATTTACTAACACTTATTAACCAATTAGTTACTTATTTATATTTTGTTCTTTTTGTGAAATGGGTACATTTATTAGTTAAATGATATTGGGTTGTCCGGAAAATAATGCAGGATTTTGGTATTAAACAAAAAAAAAGAAACTAGTTACTTTAAAGCAATGTTCTTTAATCAAAATAATTTCCCATACTCTCAATACATTTCTCCCAACGTGTTGGTAACTTATTAATTCCGTCTGAGTAGAATTCAGAATTTTTAGAATTGATAAAGTCAATAAATGCATTTTCCAGTTCCGTTTGATTTTTGAATATTATGTGTTGTAAGTAGTGGTCCAGGTGTCTAAAAAAATGGTAGTCAGTAGGCGAGAGGTCCGGAGAGTAGGGTGGGTGAGGCAAAGTTTCATAGCCAAGCTCCAATAATTTTTGTGACGTTACACGTGACACATGTGGTCGAGCGTTGTCATGCAACAAAATGGGCCCTTTCCGATTGACCAAAGAGGGCTTCATTACTGCCAATTTCTGATGCATGGTATTAATTTGGTTACAGTATGATTCAGCATTGATGGTTTCGCCAGGATTTAAGAAGCTGTAGTGTATTAAACCAAATGAAGCCCACCATACCGTAACCATTACCTTTTTTTGATGAGTTGGGGGCTTTGGAAAATGTATTGGAGCTTCTCCTTTGTCGAGCCACTGTCCAGAACGTCTAGTGTTATCGTAGAGAATCCACTTTTCGTCACATGTAACAATTCTGGCCAGAAATGGGTCATTTTTGTTTCGACAAAGAAGTGATGCACAAACATCAAAGCGCTGATTTTTTTGGCGATCGTTTAATGAGTGTGGAACCCAATTTTCGAGTTTTTTCACTTTTCCAATCGCCTTGAGGTGGTCAGCGACGGTCGTTTTACTGACTTTGAGTTGCTCTGCAAGTTCTCGAACAGTTGTTTTGGGGTTTTCTTCCACCACTGATCGCAGAACATCATCATTAAGAGAGGAAGGCCTTCCACGACCTTCTTCATCTTCAAGGCTGAAATCTCCCTCCCGAAATTTTTTAAACCACCTTTGCACAGTGCACTCATTAACACAACCCTCGCCCCAGACTTGGTTAATGTTTCTAGCCGTTTGGGCTCCGCTTCGGCCGAGTTTAAACTCGTAAAAGAAAATCGTACGAAATTCTCGCTTTGACATTATAAGGATGACTGAATTATTTCCAAGTAGCGGAATGCTACAGAGGTAAACAAACAATATCATTTGGAAGAGGATTAATAAGTGTTGACATTCATACAAATGAGTAATCCTGTAAACGTAAACAGAATATTTTATATAGATTTTTTTTAATGAAAACTTAAAATCCTGCATTATTTTCCGGACAACCCAATATAAACAATTTGTTTGGCGCTGTTGATAGGATATGATTCAGTTCAGTTTGTTTGATAATTTTTTCAATATTGTTGAAGAATACTGATCTAAGATAAACTTTGTGTAACTAATTTTTACTTGTCTTTATCAGTTTTGATAAACGAAAATTCTTTGTTCTAGGACATCAAAATTTTCAAGTAATCGGCATAGGAAATCACAACCTTTCAGGGAAACGTGACTGCCACAACTAGCTAGCAGAATCATTAAGAGTGATAGTGACGAAGCCACCATAGGCACCTTTTTTTCCCCCCTACAAGACCTCCAGTATATTCGATAAAAAATGGGTACCGTAAATGTTAATCGTAATGTATCGGACACATTCTACCGGTACAAAATGCCCCGCCTCCTTGCCAAGGTTGAGGGAAAAGGCAATGGCATAAAAACTGTTATTGTGAACATGGCCGATGTAGCAAAATCACTTGGCCGTCCTGCAACCTGTAAGTTCAATTGCTTCAGGTGTTTGTAAAACAAAAATCTCTTTGTTAACGTTTGTGTTTTTGAATCTTAGATCCGACTAAATATTTTGGGTGCGAGCTTGGAGCACAGACATTGGTCGATTTCAAGAACGATCGCTTTATTGTGAACGGTTCACACGACGCTACTAAACTTCAAGACCTCTTAGATGGTTTCATTCGTAAATTTGTGCTCTGCCCAGAGTGTGACAATCCTGAAACAGATTTGGTGGTCAACTCTAGAAAAGAGACCATCAGCCAAGAATGCAAAGCATGTGGATTCCATGGACTTCTTCAGTTCAATCACAAACTGAATACCTACATCATCAAAAACCCACCTAGTAATAATTTTCTTCTATCATGAAAGCCTATAAGAACAATAAAGTTTTTTTATTTTTTATTTTTTTTTTTTTTAAGGTATGAACCCAGGTACCCAAGGTGCATCCTTGACTGAAGGGAAACGTGCTAAACGTTCCAAGACCAAGCAAAATGGAGAAGTTACAACTAATGGAGATAGATCAGGTTCTCCAAAGTCTGAAGATGAGCCTGAACTCATTGTTCCACCACCCAAGAAAATAGAAGATGTAATTTGTTTAAACATGAATATTTATAATGTAGTACAATATGCTGGTTTCTTCCTTACTTTGTAATTTTTTTCTAGGAGGAGGAAGAAGAAGAATGGGCAGTTGATGTATCGGAGGAAGCAGTACGGGCCCGTTTGCAAGATTTGACAGAAGGAGCCAAGAATTTGACAATGACAGAAGATCTTGAAAAGACAGAAAAAGAGCGTATGGATATGTTTTACGGTGTTGTTAAACTTCGCAAAGACTCTGGAGATCTATCAAGCACTTCAGCAGCAAAGGAGCTTCTCCAGGAAGCTACCCGTCTCGAGATCAAAAGCAAAGCTCCTCTTGTTCTCGCTGAATTGCTTTTCGATGACAAAATACACATTCAGGTGTGTAGGCATATTTCTCCTTGGAAATGTTAGGTTTAAACTGACGTATTTTTTTTCACAGATCAAGACATACCGCGTTTTGCTCCTGCATTTCACCCATGAAGATCCAAAAGCTCAGAAATACCTCATCGGTGGAATAGAACAAATCATTGCTATGCATAAAGCAGCTCTTTTGCCAAAAGTCCCTGCCATTTTTAATGTACTTTTTAAAATATATTTTTAAATATTTATTTTTTGTATGTACTAACCTATTTTTTTTTTCCAAATAGCTGCTCTATAATTCTGATATACTGGAGGAGGGGGTGTTACTTGAATGGGGAAGTAAAGTAAGATCAAAATACGTGCCTAAGGAACTGAGCCAAGAGATCCACAACAAGGCTGAACCATTTTTAACTTGGTTGAAAGAGGCTGAAGAGGAGGAAGAATCGAGTGAAGAGGAAGATGACCTTGAGGTATCTAAACATATAAAAATACTACAAAATCTTATTTAATTATTGCACATGAGACAGGTTCAAATCTCAACAGCCCTGAATTCACATCCAACTTACTTATAAATGGGGCTTTTTCTAAACAATTCCAGCACCCCAAGAGTTGAATATAATCTCCGATGTTGCAATCCTCGTAACAAGGTTTTAATATTTAGCTTTTTGCATTGATAATATAATGTGGGCATCATAGAAAACTGAATTATTATTGTGGGTTGCTGAGTGCTTTTACATCTCATTTTACTATAGCTTTTTGTCTCAACAGCATTATAATTATATTTCAAAATAATGTCTCTTTTTATTATTAATTGTAATATTATTGAATTTATTGTTTAATTTTCAGATTGAGTATGATGACAGAGCCAAGGCTTCTCCGCTTAAAGAGCACAAACCGATAAACACTCCCAAGCCTGCCCCAGTAGAAGACGACGGAGAAGACGATGTGGATATTGATGCTATCTAAAGGAATATACTCAAACTGTACCGTTTATTCTACTCACATTATAATCCCACAATATCCAAACAATTAGAACTGTTTGTAAAATAAGAAAAAAAAAGAATATACAAAAAAAAATTATAGATTTACGTCATTTTGGTGGCAGTAGCTAGGCCTCTATTTCCAAATTGTAGTAATCTGTGGCATCTGTGTAATTTATCCCCTCCTTTCAAGCTTATTGTATAAATGAGAAAGTTTAAAAAATGTTGAACAATAGCAAAACTAAGATTGCATTAAAAAGAAAAGAAAGAAAGGCATGTTTGTCATAGCAGCATAATATTAAATAAAATATATACTTCACAACAGCTTTAGTTTTCAATTTTTATTTAATAATTAGATATTGTTTATATAGTAGTTCTGCTTATTTTAAATTTATAAGTTGTCAAAAGTAACATATGTTATATATTCCATGTATAAAAACTTAATTTTTGTCAAGAAAGAAAAAAAATGTGTTCATTAATTTTGGTAAAATAATGTTTGTCTTGTAAATGGTACATGTGGAATTTTGCTAGGCTATATATTATTAATTTGTAATCTATACACTCCCTGAAAATGCAAAATTTAATATAAAAACATTCATTTTGTTATTTTATTAATTATAATTACTTTGCTTGTGTCGTAATTTTGTACAGTGGTTTAGTGGTTTTTTATATTTAAACGATTGAAATATTGGATTTTAAATAGTTTTTGTTTTGTTAACTCTTAATGTATTTGATTAATTTTATTTTGCATTTTATGTTTTCTCTATTTAGAGCTACTTCTATATTGCCTTTATTGTTTTTTTCCCAAAATGTTATAATACTAAATATATCTAATTTGAATGATGTACTTTTCCTGCAATATACTGGCCCATATCTCCACATGTCAATGAAATTACAATTAATTTAAAAAATAGGACAATGGAAATTATAATAAATTTAAGTTTTCCTCAGGTCAAGGCAACAAATCACTACAAATATTTTATTCATATTCCCTTGTTATTCTTATATGTGTAATATATATTTACTATGTTCGTGTGATTCTGAGGACTTTGTAACATATAAACTACAACCTTTTCCCTTTTTTTTCCTTTTTCCTTATGTTAATTACTAGGCTGATTGAAACAATTGTGAGAAACAGCAGTTGGTTGCAAGCAAAAGTGGCGTTTTGAGTTAAAAAGAACAAAATCGAAGCTGAACTTCACTAGATTAAAAAAAAAAACAAGGAGGTTCTGAATGTTTTTATGCCTAGATGATCAGTTAAATGAGTAAAATTTCATGACGAAACTGGAAGCAGCATTTTAAGTAGTTTTCAAATATGTGAAGGACTGGAATTTTGGAATTGACTAAAAATGGAATCAATTCTCCAAGTAGAGTATTAAGATGAAACAGAAGAAAATTTAAGTAGAGTACACAAGGCACAGCTCGAACCCATGGCCTTGAAGTGGTTATCTTGAGTAGGGTTAAAAGAAAATGGAACTAGTTAGTCTTGAGTAAAGTTGTAAGCAGGTAAAAAAACATTTCAAGGTAAGTTTTTGAGACTGAAATAAATATAAGCAGATCTTGAGTAGGATTTTAAGATTATAAAAATGGAACCATTTAATTCTCTTGAGTAAAGTTACAAGCAGATAAAAATCACTTCATCAAAATAAGTTTTTGAGATTGAAATTAAAGCGGATCTCTTGAGTAGGTTTAAAAGATAATGAAAATGGAACTAGTTACTCTTGAGTAAAGTTGTAAGCAGATAAAAATCACTTCAACAAGTTAAGTTTTGAGACTGAAATAAATATAAGCAGATCTCTATAGTAGGGTTTTAAGATTATAAAAATGGAACCATTTAATTCTCTCGAGTGAAGTTGTAAGAAGATAAAATCGCTTCATCAAAATAAGTTTTTGAGACTGATGTAAAAGCAGATAGATCAACTTGAGTAAATTTTTAATATAACATCACTTCATCAAGATGAGTTTTGAGACTGAAATAGAAGCAGATATCCAAATAGGGTTTTTTTAAAAATTCTAGAGAAGGATTCTCATCCATTCATCAAGTTAGGTTTTGGAGAAGACAAAAATGGAAGCAGTTCTTTAAGTAGAGTGTATAAAAAGATGAGACGTATAAGCAGATCTCTTGTAATGTGATGATGAAAATGGAACCGGTTAATTCTTTTGAGTAAAATTTCAAGAAAATAAATTCATTAAGACGGACAGATCTCTGAATAGGGTTTTAATTGTGTTAAAAAAGAAGCAGCTCTATAACTTTGGTGTGGAATAGTGTTTAAGAATGCTTGAATTGTAGTATTTTTCAAATGGTTTTTTGTACATGTACTAAAACAGAAGTTCTTTAACTAAGTTTTTATGAAGATTGAAAAGTAAACTTCTCTAAATAGGGCACAAAACAGAAGTTTTCTAAGTAGTGTTCTAAAAGTTCTGAAGTTTTAAACAGTTTCTCTGGTAATGGTTTTAAGGATACTAAAATTGAATGATTTCTGAAAGTAGGGTTTTTGTAAAACTCAAATGGAAGCAGTTATACAAAAAAAGTTCAAAGAAGAAGAGCAGGAAACAGTTTTCTGAGTAAAGTTTTTAAAAATGCTAAAACTGTAGAATTTCACGAGGTTGGGTTTTAAGATATAACCTTTTAATATAAGGATTATCCTTGTTGGATCACAATAAGCTAATCCCCCAACCAAAGGCTTTGGGAAAACTGCTGAGACACGTAATGAAGACGATCATTTCCTCAACCCTGTTGTAAGCACGACTTTTTTCTTTGAAAAGAACCTGTACATGGTAATCCAAGTAAAATTGTTAAGAATGTTTTGAAGCAATTCTTAGAGAACAGTTTAAAAATGAATTAAAATGGATGTAGTTCTTCACTCAGGTTATTAAGATGGCAACTGAACACTTCTCCCAGTAGGGTCTTACAAAGTTTTAGGCAGGTAATCATTTTTTTATGTAGGATTTAATGAAAATCTGATTTGTTCCAGCAATCAAGGATGTTTTTGCCACTAATTAACAGATTTGGTTTAGTAGATGCTTTATTTGCCCTTGCCCAAGCAGGGTGTGATACACAGTCATCCAGGTTTTTTTTTCTTCATTTTTTGCAGAACGAAGATAATTTCTCACATAGCAAAATGACGAATTTAAAAAGATTGATGTATCTGTCCAAAACAATCAGGGATAAAACCGAATGGAAGCCAAAATAAAAAAAAAGTCGTCTTGACACACTTCTTAGATCTTTAGTTTTGTCAAGACATAGCTGGTGACGAGGAGACCATAAAATAAGAAAAAAAGAGGTTTAAAACTCGTGTTATGGGTGAACATCTCATTCCTGCCGAACTGAGAACTACTGCTTGCAAAACAGTTCTTTCTATTGGAAATGAGGACATGTACTATAGCATGCTCAAGTTTTACAGAGAAGAGAGTCTAAAGGAAGAAGATGTAACGATAAATATTTAAAGAGAGTATTTGAATTTATTAAATCGGATGGAGTAGACCACAGGATAAACATTTGCCATTATATGCGTTTGTATGACTAAGGGGAGAGTTTGAGGAAATTTCTCAAGACAAATAAGATGGTGGATTCCTTTAAGCGACATGTTAAGCACGCAATGGAAGACTTTGCTTCAAAAGAGATGGCAAAAGATGTATACAGCAATCAATTGAAATGATTCTCCTCAATGCCTCTTAGCTTAAACACGACATTGAAGATGGTCAGTTTGTGAAAAAAGTGGAACTGAGTTTCTATTTGTTCATAAATACAGAGCAAATTCAAAACAATGTCAGGCTATTTTTATTTCTATGAATTATAATTTTTAACATGTTTAATTTTTTAGTATTTAGTTGTGGACGAATTTCGTTATTTTGCCTTGGAAAAAAAATTCAGATTAGAATGGATTTTGCTCGCCAAATTTTTGTGGCAATGCAGAGAAATAGTAATTTCTACGTAATAAATTAATTATATGTTGTTTAAAAATATATAATAATATTTGTTGCTTTTTCTATTGCACCAATTTAATAATCATGACGACATAGCCTCCAATTGGGTCGCCCACCAGTCGTCGAAAGCAGAAGGGGAAACCTTCTATTTCTTTTGATAACCTTGGAGAGCATTTTTTATGCTTCTGAAATATCTTTATTTCCAGTTTTTGCGATATTCCACACGCTGAAAAAGGCTACTATTTTTAGGTAATCATCAAATTTATAACGATAAATAATCCTGAAATTATAGTTTTTTTTGCGGCACTCCTTTAAACGTTCTCCGTGCTCGTTGGCGTTTTTCCATACTTGTAAACCTTGAACAATACGTTGCTCCTTATATTGTGTTTATTAGATATTTTACACATTTATCAAACGGTTTGAGAGGATATTTGAACTATTTTAAATTCGGGATAACAATTAGAGCTGATGCATTGGCTTAATGGTCAAATCTTGCAACTTAGGTACTTCAGATGACTCACAGCTAAGTTTGCACACCCAGTTTTATACGGAATTAGTGGAATTAAACTGATGAAAAGAAGACCATATGTATTTGTAAAAGCTATTGTTTCACAGGGTTCAGTTCTAAGTCCCTTCTACCACATTTTCATTAGTGACACATGTCAGTAAGTTGCTTTAAACATTTTGAACAACTGTATTTGCATCGCTGTGTATAGATTTGATGTGATAGTTACTTATGATAGTCAGGGTGTTTTTTTTTTGTGTGCAAAAGCTAGTGTTTCCCAGGGTTCAGTTCTAAGTCCCTTCTTCTACAACATTTTCATCAGTGACACCTGTTAGTAAGTCGCTTTAAACATGTTGAAGAACTGTAATTTGCATCACTCTGTTCAGAGATAGTGATTTAATGATTGGGTGTTTTTTTTTAATTTGCAAAAGCTAGTATTTTCCAGGGTTTAGTTCTACGGCACATCATGTTTCCTAATTTTATTTGTGATACCTACCACAATTTTATTACCAAATTTGTTTATTATAAAAATTACCAAATTCACAGATTTGGTCTGACATAATTTATGATAATTAGAGTGCAAAATCTAGTATCACCCAGGGCTCATCTTATTTGATATTTTCATTTGTGATAACTATAACAAAGTCATTTGACACTTTGACGATAGGCAGACACAGAATATCTGATTTGTATAATAGATTAAAAAATTCTTCAAAGTTTGAAATTCGAGGTGTTTCCTACTATCCACGATGATGCTTGGTGCATATTCTTCCTGTAAACTCACTTCACTTCTTTTTGTGCATGCTAAAGTATATCGTAAGAGAGAACTGTTTTGTAAACAGCAGTTCTCAGGTTTGCTGGAATGAGATGTTCACCTGCAAACATAAGCCTTGAACCTCATTTTTGGTTCTTTGATGGTCTCTTTGTACCAGCCATGTCTTGACAAAACTAAAGATCTAAGAAGTGTGTCAAGATGCCTTTCTTTTGAGTTTGGCTTCCATCAAGTTTATCTCTGATT